TTCCTTCCTTCCTTCCTTCCTTCCCTCCTTCCTTCCTTCCTTCCTTCCCTCCTTCCTTCCTTCCTTCCTTCCCTCCTTCCCCTGTTAAGATGAACATCCCTCAATCCTTAAAATCCCTTCGGAAATCAAAGAGCACCCCAAAAAGAATCCCATTAAAGGCCATTTGTGACAGCTGGACCCCAGTGGCCATCCCAGCCCTCGGTCTTCAAATAAAAACTCCAATTACGGATTCGTTTTCCCTGCTCTGGGCATCTGGCTCCCCTCAGAAATTAAAAAAAAAACCACAATCCAAAGATGAAGGAGATTTTTGGCTCCCGCTCTGACTCCCCCAGCAGAGCTGGATTGTGCCGGAGCTTTCATCCCGCTGGATTTGGGAATCCCAGCTGGGCCCAAGACACTGAAATTTCCATGACAAAGAGCAGAGAGGGTCCTGCAGATGGGGCAGCTCTGGACCATTAACTCCCAGCCCGCTGTGATGGGTCATTCCCAATTTTTCCACGTCCAGGAGGTGAAAAAAAGCCCTCTGGGAATCAGCTCTGGAAAGTGCCTGGTTTGGTTTTCATTCAAATAAATAAAATTAATTTCCCTCCGTGCCCGTATTATTCAACATCAAAGCATTTTTGTGTCATTCTGGTAAAAGGAAAAACTCGGGAATTTTTGATTTTTAATGCTGGAGCTGTGCTGTGGTTTTCCCTGGATTTGGGTGTCCCTGTAGCTCACAGGAAAAAAGGGAACAAACAGCAAATGAGGTGGAATATAGAAAAAAATAAGGTATTTTTAAAGTCCCTCCATGGATTCCACTCCCTGCAGAATTCCTGGTTTATCCTCATCAATCACCAGGAAAAATGAAAGATCCCAAGCCCACTGAGGAATCCCGTAAGGGTTTTAGGGATGAGCTCAGCTCTGATCTCATCTCCTGCTTCCCGATGCTCCCTGCCCTGCACAAACCCAGGAATATCCCAGAAAATGCTTTTTCCAGGATCTCATGGAAGGGAATAAACTTCCAGAGGGAAGTGGAGCATCCCTCACCCCCAGAGCTGGGAGCAGAGCTTGGATCAGAGGGAAACGACGCCGGCTCAAAAATCACCACATTCCTCACCCCTGACCTGGGGCAGCTCCATCCCCCCAGAATTCTTGGAAAAGCGGGAGAAATGGAAGGAAATTTGACAGGAGTAAGGATGGGAAGTTAAATTTAAAACCCCCAAACACCTCGAGGTAAAGCACAGCCCCTTCAGAGGAGCTGGCAGCTCTCTGCTGTGGCTCAGGGTGATCCAAAGCCTGGCTGGATCATTCCAGAATTCTGCTGGAATCATCTCCAGCCCTGTCCTGACTTTCCAGGCTTCAATGTGGCCGAAAATATTCAATAATAAACTGTGTCTGTTGAAAATAAATGATAAATATTCCTTTAAATTCCATGGGATCCATGGAACGCCCCGAGTTGGAAGTTGGAAAATCCAAAATGTAGATGACTCCCAAGAATCCCATCCTGAATTCCTAATCCAGGCTCCAAAGTGGCTGAAAATATTCAATAATGAGCTGTGTCTGTTGAAAATAAATGATAGCTATCCCATTAAATAGTTATGGGATCCATGGAATGCCCCGAGTTGGAAGGATCACCAAAATCCAGCGGCAGATGATCCCAAGAATCCCATCCTAAATTCCTGAATTCCTGAATTCCTAATCCATGCCCCAAAGCCCAAAATATTAATTTACCAATCTGCTGCAAACGAAAATATCCCATTAAATAGTTATGGGATCCATGGAATGTCCCGAGTTGGAAGGGAAGGATCATCAAAATCCAACAGCAGACGATCCCGAGAATCCCAGCCTGAATTCCTGATCCTAATAAAGCGCGGAAGACAGGGAATTGCGTCAAAGTCTGTTCATTTCCCGCGCCGCTCTGTTCCTGCACACCCTGCCCAGGCAGCAGAGCCCGAGGCTGAAGAGGATCCCCAGGATCACGCCGCTCCCGACTCCCAGCACCGCCTCATAAATCCACTGCTTCTCCCACGGATTCCGCCAGCGCTCCGGCTCCGCGGCGCTGCTGGCGTTCCCCGGCGGCTCCTCCCCGTTGGCCGCCAGCTGCTGCTCCCAAGTCAGGGATTTCTGGAAGTCGAGATCCACCAGATCCCTGGGGATCACCCTGAGGCCGAAGTAGATCCTCTTGACGAGCTGGAAGGAGCTCAGCACCTGCACGTCGCAGCGGTAGGTCCCGGAATGCGACTCCAGAGCCGGCGAGAAGCTCAGGGAAGGGCTGGGATTGTGGAAAGGATGGAACAGGAGGTCGTTGGTGGTGATGAGCCCGCGGGCGAACCTCCAGGTGTAGCCGAAATTTTGTCCCTCCAGGCTGGTGGCGTCCGGGGAGAGGCAGGTGAGGCGGATGGGATTTCCCTCGGGAACGCTGAGGTGCCGGAGGCCGCAGATCCAATGGCTGAGGCAGCGGGAACGCACCAGGGAGCAATTCCGGCGCTCCCCGGCCGGGCTGACCTCGCACAGCCGCTCCTCCTTCACGCCCAGCCCGCAGGTAACGCTGCAGGGTGTGGAGTTCACCACCACCATGGCCTTCAGCCCCAGCGGGATGGGCTCCGATCCCGCGGGAAGCTCCGAGCCCGATCCCGACCCCGCGGGAGGCTCCGGCTCCGACGGAAGCGCCGCTGGAATGCACAGGGCGCACAGCAGGATCACCGCCATGGGGCTCTGCTCCATCTCTCTGGGTGGTTTTGTGTCTGGGTTCAGCGCTCCAAACCCCCCGGAATCATTCCATAAATCTGCCGGATCCTTTGGGATGTCTCCGACATCCCGCCAGATCTAATCCTTCCACCTGGGAAAATCCTCCCCGAATGGAGCTGGAGGCACAACTAAAAAAAGACACAGCAAGGAGTTACTGGATCCAGCAGGGCGGGAATTCCAGGAATTCCATTGGGAATGTTCTTCCAACAGGACAGGATGTTCTGATCCATTGGATCTAATCCAACTCTGCCCAAATTCCATCAGTTTTGGGTGTGTTGGGCAATTTAAGAGTGAAATTCTCCCCTCTCCCTAAGACTTCCCACATGATTTTCGATGGATTTTATTTTAGATGGATTTCCACTGGAAAAGGAGCGGCTCCAGTTTCGTTTTCACACCAAACTCCAAACTTCCAGCGGGAATTCCTGCAGGAATCTCCCAAATAACGCTGCGGAGTGTGAGGAAACCCCAAAATCCCAATTCCTCGTGGTCCAATCCTGACTGACACAAACACATCCCAGAGTCCGGAGCACTCCCAATCCCAACATTCCAACCTCTATTCGGGCTGATCCATGGGAATCCGGGGTGGGAGCTGCTGTGGCTCCGGTCACTCCGTGTCCACACCAGGCCCTGGAGCTGTTCCCATGGGAGCAGCTCTGACGTCACAGACGGGGCACAACGGCCCCAAACATTCCAAGGAAGAACCCTCTTCCCAAGGAAGAACCTTGGGAGCTGAGGGCTCCCAAGGATTTCTGGAAGCTCCAGGTGAGGCTCTGGATAAAATTCCCAGCCTTGGAAAGAGACACAGGAGTTGGGAGAGCTCCCAGAGCCCTCATTCCCAAGGGATCCGACCCCAAGCTTCCACTGATGGATCCACAGGAATCATTCCCACGCTGCCATCCCAGGAAAGCGCTCGGAGAGGAGATTCCGGCAGGATCCGTGCGGTGCTCAAGCATCCCAAAATAATCATGCAGTGCCAAAGTGGTCTTCCCCGGAAAATCCAGGTTTTTTGATGGAGGAACCTCCCCCAGCTCTATGGAACCACGTTCTCCATAGTTTTTGATGGCAATTTTATGGAAAAGGCATCCCATAATCTCCTGCTGGGCATCCCTGGATTCCCACAGGGATTTGGGTTTGCCGAGTTCTTCCGCAGGTAACGAACATCCGGATGTTTCCCTTCCTGACATTCCTTAAACTGAAGAATTCCCGAAGCTCCAGGAGGATTTTCCAGCCCTGGAGTTGCCCTCCCCTCCCAGCTCTGTGTCCAGCTCCCCTTTCCCAGCCTGGCTCCCAGGGCATTCAGGGATCAGGGAATTCCCGACTGGTTTGGGTGGGAAAGAACCTTAAATCCCACCATTCCACAATCCCAGGATGCTCCAAACCCCGTCCAGCCTGGCCTGGGACACTTCCAGGGATGGGACAGCCACGGATTCTCCGGGAATTCCATTCTCTGAGCAGCCAGGGTTTGGTTTTACTCCGGATTTCCTCCTCTCCCTTCAATAAAACCAACAAAAAATACTCTAAAAACCCCAAACACGGGGAATTCTCAAATTCCCCAACTTTTCCATGGAAAAGCCAAGATTTACCCGTGGATTTTAGGAAATGGAAGGTACCTCTTTATTTACAAACACAGAGCCATCACCACTGCCGAAGCTGATCCGATATTGTACAAAACCAGGGAATAAAATAAGGACGGGAATAACTCGGGAAAGAGAATAAGGATGGGAATAAAAAGGAAATAAAATAAGGATGGGAATAAGGCGGGAAATACAATAAAGATGGGAACAAAGTGAGAAATAAAATAAAGATGGGAATAACCAGGACAGAAAATAAGGATGGAATAAAGTGGGAAAAAAAAAATAAGGATGGAAACAAACCGGGAAATAAGATAAGGATGGGAATAACAAGGAAATAAAATAAAGATGGGAACAGACCAGGAAATATGGATGGGAATAAAGCAGGAAATAGAAGGATGGGAATAAAGCAGGAAAGAAGGATGGAAACAAACCAGGAAATAAAACAAGGATGAGAATAAATCGGCAAATAAAACAAAGATGGGAACAAACTAGGAAAGAAAATAAAGATGGGAACAAAGTGAGAACTAAAATAAAGATGGGAATAAAGCAGGGAAGAAAATAAAGGTGGGAATAACCAGGACAGAAAATAAGGATGGGGAATGAAGCGGGAAATAAAATAAGGATGGGAATAAAGCGGGAAATAAAATAAGGACGGGAATAAAACGGGAAATAAAATAAGGATGGGAATAAAACGGGAAATAAAGATGGGAATAAAGTGGGAAATGAAGGAAGGGCTTTAAGCCAAGCTGCAGGAGCTCGGGCTGTGCCGCAGGAATTGGGGTCAGGCCCAGCCAGGGCAGGTTTGGCACGGCAGAGTCGCCCCACAAGCAAAAAAGAACAAAAATCCCAATGGGAATTTTACACTCGTGGTCAGAAATGTCCCAAAATGAACCCAAATGTCCCCAAAGCCCGGAGCGAAAACGTCGAGGTTTGAAGAATTGCGAAAGCTCCGATTTCCAAATGTTTTCTCTCTCCTGGATTTTGTATCTGCACGGTTCTGGCTGCAAACTCATCCCTTCCCAACTCCCCTCCTGCCTTTTCCTGCAGGACACCCAGGAAATTCAAATACCTCCTGATAATCCCAAAAATTCCACCCGGGGGGAAACACCGAGAGCAACGAAACGCCGAAGTCTGGGGGGAAAAAACGGGGATTTAGGGGTGAAATTTCCTTTTTTTGGGATGCTGGTGTGGGTAAGAGGTGCCAGGCTGTGGGTGCTGGACAGGGAAAGTGCTATTCCCATTCCCACAGGGAATCCTGAAGGAATAAAAGGTTGGGAATGAGCTGGCAGCTTCCATTTTTAACCCACGAGTGGGAAAAAACAGAAACCCCTTTGGAAAATTTCTGTTTCAGTTCCGAGAAAAAAAAAACCTGGGTTTAATTTATCTCCCGGTGAGGGAGGAGCCCGGATATTCCCGGGGCTTTTCCCAGGGAAGAGAAGGAACAAAACCACTGGAAAGGACGGGAGGGAACTGCAGCAGAGCTTCGGGAATCACAGGCTGGGATAAAAACCATTGGAAAATGAGGTTTTTTTCCTAAAGCTGCCCCTTCTGCCACCGGCAGAGTGGGAGAAATGAACACCAAAGCAAGGCAGATTCCAGAGGGGCCGCAGCTCCTCACATCTCACTGGAAATTCCTGAAAATCTGGGCTGGGATCAGCGGCTCTGCCCTGATCCTGTCACCCAGGGAAAAGCTGGGCAGGAATGGGCTCAGCGAGACGGGAATTCCCAGCTGGAAAAGGGGGGCTTTGCAGGATCCAGCCAGGAATCCAAATTCACTCTTTGGGGTGTTCTTCCATCCGGGAATGATGCGAGATTTTGGGAGATAAAGGTGGAGAGGCTCTGGAGTGGCGGGGAAGGGGCTCAGGTCACTTTGGGACAGGGATTTGTCCCTGGAATTCCCAACCGGAGCTCGGTCCGAGCCTTCTCCGCGCCAGCTGTGCCTGATCCACGGAGAGGCAGCAGGAGGGCAGAGGCTGCTCCCTCTTCCAGAGTCATTCCTGCCCCAAATCACTCCCTGAATCCATGGAATTCAGTCTGTGCCAGTCCTGACTGAAAATTCCAGCGTTTCCACGCTGGGGAGCCAAGAGAGGAAAGGAGACAGGGAGAGAAGGAAGAGTCTTCATAGCAACTCTGAGATTGCACCACCTGCTAGAGAGAGCAGAGATGGAAAAATGAGTGGCCGGCCCCATCCAGAGGCTCCCAGAAAACCAGAGAGCCCCAAATGGAGCAGGAAAAAATGGGAAATGCAGGAAAAAACTGGGAAATGCAGGGGAAAAAAAACAAACCGGGAGAGGGCGAGATTTTTGTAGCTAAAACCCGAAATTTCAGCACCGGGAGGCAGCTCTGGGATTGATTTGAGATTCTGGGAGCGCAGCACGGCTCAGGAATTCTTCATTCCCAAACTTACCTGGTGGCAAATCATTCCTAATTCCCAAATTTTCCGAGCAAAACCCAAGGAAATTGAGGCCCACCTCAGCGTGGGTGAAACCAGAGAGGAGGATTTCATCCTCAGCTGTGAAATGATGGGATTGCTCTGGGTTTTTTAAGCCGAGTTTAACACAAAAAATCGGATTTTAACGTTTGCTGCCAGCACGGAGAAATGAATCCCAGTCCCAGCCATGCAGCTCCCACGTGGAAATCCCAAAGATTTTCCAGGGAAACTCTCCCTGTGCAGCTGCTTCAGCCCTGAGTTAGTTCCTGCAGCAGAATTCCCAGAATTCCCACTCTGTGCAGGGAAAGGGAGCCTGGATCCAAATTCCTTGGGAATTTGGGATGTGCTGGAACCCCAGGAAAAGCTGGCGGCCCAAAATTTTGGGAATTTTAGGTACAAGGCGTAAAGAGAACAAAGGAAAGAGCGAATTCCACGGAATTCTGTGGGTTTGGGAAGAGCCAAGGGATGGATTCTTTCCTCTCCCAGTGTGGCTCCCACAGAGTCCAGCACTGGGATCCACTGGGAATCTGCTGGATCCTCCCAGGTCAGGAATTCCATGGAAATACGGATTTTCATGGAATGCCAGGGTTTGGATGGGAAAGGGCCTTAAATCCCATTCCATGGGCAGGGACACCTCCCACTGTCCCAGGATGCTCCAACCTCAATCCTCGGACATTCCCAGGGATTCCTCTGGGAACACCTCACCATTCCAGGCAGGAATTTTTCCCTATTTCCCTTCATCCCAAACCTGCATGGAAAACACCTCCAAGCCAGCACAGGCAGCAAAGCCTAAAAGCAGATTTCAGGGAGCTCTGCCAAATCCAGCTGATGGGAAAAACCGAGCGGAATTCGAGTCTAAACCCATTTTTGAGGAAAACAAATTCCCAGGTTGGCTCAGGAATCTCATCCCAACCCAAAAGCAGGGAAATAAATCCCCGGGTTTCCTGCACCAACAGCAAATCCACACCAAAAATCCTTCCAAACAGGGCTGGGAAAGGAGGGGGAAACGCAGAAAAGCCGGGAAAGGAATTTGGCTGCTGCATCGGGAATGTTCCAGAGGGATGGGGATGGGATTTCCCAGAGAGGAAGGAATTCCCAGCTCCACAGAAAACAAGGAATTAGGAAGAGCAGCTGAGTACAAAGTTAGAGTCAGCAGCCCCTGGCAGTGCTGAGCAAAAATGGGAATTAAAGATGAAATGGGAATTAAAAATTAAATGGGAATGAAAGATTAAACGGGAATTAAAAATTAAAGCGTTTTTCTGAGAGCGCCCCCTGCTCATCCAGCCCCTCCAACACGGAAAATCCAAGGATCCAGCACAGTTTGGAAGCCCAGGATTGGGATTCTCCTCGGAAATCCCAATCTTCAGGCTCCAGGCCATGATCCTTCCTCGTTTCTGTTGTTAATTTTATTAATTAGCAGTGATGGAAGCAATAATTAACATGAAATTAATGATCTCCAAACCAGCCCTGTGAGGATCCAGGTGATCCCTGCCATCCTTGGAAACACCCGAAAATCTTGGAAAATCCCCCCAAAAATTCCCCCCCTGAGGCAAATCCCACCCAAGGATGCTCCAATCCCGGATTTTTCCAGGTGGAAACATTCCCAGACAACATCCCCGAGGTTTTTCCATAAAAAATTCCCATTCCTGGAAGTAACAGAGACCAGGACAAGCAACAGTGAGGAGCTGAGCAGGAAGGAGAGGAAAAGAGGGAATAAATCACTCCCGGAAAGCCTAAAATCCACGGCAGCAGCTGCTGGAATCAAGGAAATGCAAAATTTGATCCAACAAATCCGACTTTGGAGCTGGTTTTTATCCCAGCTCTGAGCTCTGGGTTAAAATCTGGTTTAAAAATCATCACTGCAGCCGAAATTGTGCTCTCTGTGCTGGGCCTGGAGGAGCTTTTCCCAAAAAAAAAGGAAGGAAATTGGATAATGGGAAACGTTTGGGACTCAACAGAGGTAAAAGATGGCCAAAAAAAGAGGGAGAATCCCAATTTTTCCCTATTTGCTGCAGTTGTGAAGGAGGAACAATCCCAAATTTCTCCTGCTGTGCAGCCACTGGAGCTTAAAGAGTAATTAAAGTGGAATTAAAGTGGAACTAAAGTGGAATTTAAACTGGGATTAAACTGGGATTCAACTGGAATTTAACTGGAATTTAAACTGGAATTCAACTGGAATTCAACTGGAATTTAAACTGGAATTTAAACTGGAATTTAATTGGAATTTAAACTGGAATTTAACTGGAATTTAACTGGAATTAAACTGGAATTAAACGGGAATTAAACTGGAATTTAAACTGGAATTTAAACTGGAATTCAACTGGAATTTAAACTGGAATTAAACTGGAATTAAACGGGAATTAAACTGGAATTAAACTGGAATTAAACTGGAATTTAAACTGGAATTAAACTGGAATTTAAACTGGAATTTAAACTGGAATTTAATTGGAATTTAAACTGGAATTTAACTGGAATTAAACTGGAATTAAACGGGAATTAAACTGGAATTTAAACTGGAATTCAACTGGAATTTAAACTGGAATTAAACTGGAATTAAACTGGAATTTAAACTGGAATTTAAACTGGAATTAAACTGGAATTTAAACTGGAATTTAAACTGGAATTTAAACTGGAATTCACCTGGAATTTAAACTGGAATTAAACTGGAATTAAACGGGAATTAAACTGGAATTAAACTGGAATTAAACTGGAATTAAACTGGAATTAAACTGGGATTAAACTGGAATTTAAATTGGAATTAAAATTGGAATTAAAACTGGAATTTAAACTGGGATTTAAACTGGGATTCAACTGCGATTCAACTGCAGCTCCTGGATTTTATCCCAGGGTTTTTTATCAACAAATCATTTTTGATGCTCCTTTTTCCCCTGTTCTGTCAACGCTGGCACAAAAAACCAGCGGAATCCTTTCCTATTCCCTCAAAAATCAACCCCAAACTTGGATATTTTCTTAAGAAATTAATGAAAACAATTAAAATAGTTATAAATTATAATTATATATATTATTATAGTATATAGTTTATGTATATGTGTATATAATATATATTATGTAATATATAATTGTATGTGTTCATTATATTATTAATATTTAATAATATTATAATTATATTATTATATAAAATATATGTATTATATATTACACATACATTATATTTTATATATTATATATTATATAATATATAATAAATTATATATGCATTATATCTTATGTATTATATATTATATAATTAATATGTTATATATATGTGTAATAATATATTTTATATATTATATATATTATATATTACAGGTTTATTATATTATTATATACACATATATATTATATACACACTATATACATAATTATATCTATATTACTATAAATAATTATAAAATAATTATCATGTAACACATAACTCAATTATAATTAATAAAAAAAATCTACATATAATTATAATTATATAAAATAAATAAAATAATTATAATATTATTAATAATTATATAATTAATATATAATTATATATTTATACTAATTATAATATGATTGACAATTATATAATTAATACATATAATTATATACAATAATTATAATATGATTATTAATTATATAATTAATATATAATTATATATTTATACTAACTATAATAATTATATTAATAAATACAAATTATAAATATAAAAATTAGATAAATAATAATTATGATAAATATAATTTATAAATACATAAATTATATAAATAATTATGATAATAAATATAAATTATGAATATAAAAATTATATAAATAATAATTATGATAAATATCAATTATAAATATATAGATTATATAAATAATTATAATAATCAATATAAATTATGAACATAAAAAATATATAAATAATAATTATGATAAATATCAATTATAAATATATAGATTATATAAATAATTATAATAATCAATATAAATTATGAACATAAAAAATATATAAATAATAATTATGATAAATATCAATTATAAATATATAGATTATATAAATAATTATAATAATCAATATAAATTATGAACATAAAAATTATATAAATAATAATTATGATAAATATTAATTATAAATATATAAATTATATAAATAATAATTACAACAATAAATATATATCAAATAATTATCACTCCCACCCCAGCTCAGCACCCGCCAAACCCCAGCACCTCCCTCCATCCGTTTAACTCCAAATCCCTACGCTAAAAACACAGAAAAACCTCAAAAAAAAAAAACCCAATTTTGCCTCTCCTTGCCAGCAGCTGAGCAGGGCGGGAGGATTTTTGGGAATTTTGGGAATTTTGGGGAATTCTGGGAATCTAGCGAGGCCTGTAAGGAACGAGGGACGACAAAGCAAGGCCACCGAGGGGGTGGCGGCGGTTCCTTACCTGTCAGGGGCTGGCCCAGCTCCGCCTGCACCTTCCCCTTGGCCGCTCCTTCCAGAGGTAAAGAACCTCTGTCCCCTTTGTAGAGTTTCGGTTTAAATGGAGAATCTTTGTCTTTACCTTTTGATCCTTTGGGCCTGCCTGCTTGCTTCTTCTTGGATTTACCGTCGCCCTTGACGCCCAGCAGCGGGTGCACCTCTGGGAAAGGCGGGGTTCGGGGTCAGGTGTTGGGGGAAAATATATCGGGATTTGGGGCGGGGGATAACGGGATTGGGGTGAGGGGTGATGGAAGGGGGGCTGTGGTGGAGTTGTGGGTGAGTTGTGGTTTAAAATGTGGATTTGGGGTGAGTTATCCCTTAAAATGTGGGGGGAATGGGGATTTGGGGCCAGTTATCCCTTAAAATGTGGGGGGAATGGGGATTTGGGGTGAGTTATCCCTTAAAATGTGGGGGGAATTAAATTATGGGTCAGTTATCCCTTAAAATGTGGGGGGAATTAAATTATGGGTCAGTTATCCCTTAAAATGTGGGGGAAATGGGGATTTGGGGTGAGTCGTGATTTAAAATATGGGGAAATGAGGATTTGGGGTGAATCATCCCTTAAAATGTGGGGGAATGGGGATTTGGGGAAGAGTTATGCCTTAAAATGTGTCCACAAGAAAATTCTGTGTGAGATAATCCCACAAAATGTGGGATCAGATCCCTCCCAACACCCTACAGCCCTGGAATCTTGGCACTGGATCCCTCCTGATGCCCTAAAACCCTGAAATCCTGGGATCAGGCTCCTCCCAATGCCCTAAACCCTGAAATCCTGCGGAGCCCGTCCAAAACCCCAAAACCCTTGAGATCAGATCTTTCCAAAAGCCCCAAAACCCTTGGGACTGGATCTCTCCCAAAGCCTCAAAACCCTTGGGACTGGATCCCTCTCAAATCCCAAAACCCTTGGGACTGGATCTTTCCCAAACCCCAAAACCCCTGGGGACTGGATCTTTCCCAACATCCCCAAAACCCTTTGGATGGAGTCCCTCCCAAATCCCCAAAACCCTTGGGATAAGATTTTTCCCAAACCCCAAAACCCTTGGGATCGGATCCCTCCCAAACCCCAAAACCCTTGGGATTGGATCCCTCCCAAAGCCCCAAAACTGCTGGAATTGGATCCCTCTCAAACCCCAAAACCCTTGGGATGGGATCTTTCCCAAACCCCAAAACCCTTGGGATCAGATCTCTCCCAACATCCCAAAACCCTTTGGACGGAGTCCCTCCAAAATCCCAAAACCCTTGGGATGGGCTCCCTCCCAAATCCCCGGAACCGTTGGGATCGGATCCCTCCCAAATCCCTTGGGACGGGCTCCGCAGGCCCCCGAATCCCGGGAATCCACCCCCGAACCCCGGGAATCCGCCACCCACCGTCGTTGGGGACTCCCTGGAGCTCGATGTTGGTGGTTTTGGGTTTTTTCTTGGGGTTCTGGGGCCCCTCCGAGGAGCTGGGGCGCTTCTTCTCGGGGCCCAGCCCCTCGTCGGGCAGCGCGCTGGGCAGCGCGTCCGGGGGCGGCCCGTAGGGATTCTCCTCGGGATCCTCCACCTCCGGAGCGATGGGAAGGTAGAGCAGCGCCCGGGAATCCTCCAGCTCCTCGTCGCTGCGCCCGGAGAAACGCCGGGAATGTCGGGAATTGCCGTTGGTGGGGTGGGGGATGTTGGGTTTGGAATGGGTGGTGGGGATTGGAATGGGAATTTGGGGGTTTATAGAGGGAATGCTGGGGTTTGGAATGGGAATTTTGGGGTTTATAGAGGGAATTTTGGGGTTTGGAATGGGAATGTTGGGGTTTGGAATGGGAATTTTGGGGTTTATAGAGGGAATGTTGGGGTTTGGAATGGGAATGTTGGGGTTATAAAGGGAATTTTGGGGTTTGAAATGGGAATGTTGGGGTTATAGAGGGAATTTTGGGCTTTGGAATGGGAATGTTGGGGTTATAAAGGGATTTTTGGGGTTTGGAATGGGAATGTTGGGGTTTGGAATGGGAATTTTGGGGTTTATAGAGGGAATGTTGGGGTTTGGAATGGGAATGTTGGGGTTATAAAGGGAATTTGGGGGTTTGGAATGGGAATTTTGGGGTTTATAGAGGGAATTTTGGGGTTTATAGAGGGAATGTTGGGGTTTGGAATGGGAATTTTGGGGTTTGGAATGGGGGTGGTGGGGTTTATGAAGAGAATTTTGGGGTCTGTAGAGGGAATTTGGGGGTTTGGAATGGGAATTTTGGGGTTTATAGAGGGAATTTTGGGGTTTATAAAGGGAATTTTGGGGTTTGGAATGGGGATGTTGTGGTTATAAAGGGAATTTTGGGGTTTATAAAGGGAATTTTGGGGTTTGGAATGGGAATTGGGGTTTGGAATGGGAATGTTGGGGTTGGATTGGGAATTTTGGGGTTTGGATTGGGAATTTTGGGGTTTATAAAGATTGTTGAGGTTTATAAAGGGAAATCTGGGGTTTATAGAGGGAATTTTGGGGTTATAAATGGAATTTTGGGGTTTGGAATGGGTGGTGGGGTTTATGAAGGGAATTTTGGGTTTATAGAGGGAATTTTGGGGTTCATAAAGGGAATTTTGAGGTTATAAATGGAATTTTGGGGTTCATAAAGGGAATTTTGGGGTTACAAATGGAATTTTGGGGTTCATAAAGGGAATTTTGAGGTTATAAATGGAATTTTGGGGTTCATAAAGGGAATTTTGAGGTTATAAATGGATTTTTGGGGTCATAAAGGGAATGTTGTGGCTATAAAGGGAATTCTGGGTTTTGTAATGGGAATATTTAAGTGGAATGCTGGGAATGCTCCACAGAGGTTAATTAATTCCCGTTAATGAGGTTTTTGGCCCAGGGGCTCCACACCTGCTGCAGAAGGCGGCGATGGGATCCACGCTGGTCACGTCCACCTCCTCATCCTCCGCAGCATCGGCACCTGGGGCCCGGAAAAACGGGAATTAAAGGCAGGAAAAGCTCCTGGAGCGGTTCCTGCTACAGCAGAAAATAACCTGGGGTAATTGTTATTGCAGCAGGGAAAAACCCACTGGGATATTTCCACTTGAAGGACAAAACGAGCCTGAAATAATTTGTATTAAAGCGTAAAATAAACTTAAATATTTCCTGTTAAAGCAGAAAAAAAATAATTTAAAATTATTTGTATTAAAGCATTAAATAAACTTAAATATTTCCTATTAAAGCAAAAAAAAAAAAACTGAAATAATTTGTATTAAAGCATAAAAAAAATCTAAAATATTTCCTATTAAAGCAAAATAAAACCCACCCTGAAATAATTTGTATTAAAGCATAAAACAAAGTTAAATATTTCCTATTAAAGCAGAAAAAAAAATAATTAAAATTATTTGTATTAAAGCATGAAACATTAAACTTAAATATTTCCCATTAAAGCAAAAAAAACTGAAATAATTTGTATTAAAGCATGAAACAAACTTAAATATTTCCTATTAAAGAAAAAAACAACCCTGAAATAATTTGTATTAAAGCACAAAATAAACTTAAATATTTCCTATTAAAGCAGAATAAAAATACTTAAAATTATTTGTATTAAAGGATGAAACAAATCTAAAATATTTCCTATTAAAGCAAAAAAAACCAACCCTGAAATAATGTGTATTAAAGCATAAAACAAAATTAAATATTTCCTATTAAAGCAGAATGGGAATTTTAATTAAAATTGTATTTCTATTTTATTTAGAAATAAAATATTTCCCATTAAAGCAAAATACAAAATTTAATATTTCTCATCAAAAAAAAAAACCCTAAAATAATTCCTATTAAAATAGAAAATCCAATTTAATTTAATTTGCTCAAATCCAATTAATTAAATTCTGGGAAGCATTAAAGTCTGCAAAAAGTAGAGCCAGGAAAAATCCTCATTCCCATCGTTTTTCACATCCCAGGATTTTTTCTTTTTCCTTGTTTTTGGGCACCACCAGGTGGCCAGGAGGGATCCAGAGGATCCCAGGGAAAGCTGGGAATTCCCTGGGAATTCCCTGGGAATGGTTTGGGCAGCACCTGTCTGCTCTGGCTCGCTCTTATCCTCGTCCTCGATGTCGAATTCCGATTCCCGCTCCTCGTATTCCACGTTTTCATCCAGCTCCTTGAAATCGGGGGCAAAAGCGCTCCAGTTTTCCTGGGAAAAAAGGTAAAAAAAGCAGTTTTGGTTTAAACAGCACCGGATTCCTTGGACCCCACAAATTCCAAGGAATTAAATATCCTGGAGGGGGTTTAAAATATGGATCTGGCATTTGGGGATAAGGGAGAGAGCTGGGAATGGCTGGAATTGGTGAGCTGGGAATGGCTGGAATTGGTGAACTGGGAATGGCTGGAATTGGTGAGTTGGGAATGGCTGGAATTGGTTGAGTTGGGAATAACTGGAATTGGTGAGTTGGGAATGGCTGGAATTGGTTGAGTTGGGAATGGCTGGAATTGGTGAACTGGGAATGGCTGGAATTGGTGAACTGGGAATGGCTGGAATTGGTTGAGCTGGGAATGGCTGGAATTGGTGAGTTGGGAATAACTGGAATTGGTGAGTTGGGAATGGCTGGAATTGGTGAACTGGGAATGGCTGGAATTGGTTGATTTGGGAATGGCTGGAATTGGTGAGTTGGGAATAACGAATTGGTGAACTGGGAATGGCTGGAATTGGTGAGCTGGGAATGGCTGGAATTGGGTGAGTTGGGAATGGCTGGGATTGGTGGGCTGGGG